CCGCGCTCACCAGCGCGTCGCAGAGCTGCACCCGTCGTCGCCCGTCGCAGTGACCCGTCGTCGCGCCGAATCACACAAAGATGCCGCCCGCGAAGAAGGCCAAGACGGCGGCCTTCGAGCTCGAGTTCAGCTACCTGGGCAACAATCTGTACCGGAGCCCCATCCGCGCCGTCATGATGCCCGCGCGCGAGCGCAAGGATGCCGGCGAGGACATCAGCCTCCTCGCCGGCGGCTGCCCGCACGAGTCCTTCTTCCCGGCGAAGGCGCTGGCGCTCGAGCTGCGCGACGGCACGACGACGGCGCCCGTCGACCTCGACAAGCCGCTGCAGTACCACAAGGGCTCCGGCGTCGAGGCGCTGCGGTCGCGGCTCGAGGCGATCCAGCGGCGCGTGCACGGGCGCGGCGCCTGGGGCGTCGCCTGCAGCGTCGGCTGCACGGACGCGCTGCTCAAGACGCTCGAGCTGCTGACGGAGGCCGGCGACGAGGTGCTCGTGGAAGAGTACACGTGGCCGGGGATCGTCGCGCAGACGGTTCCCAGGAGACGCACGACCGTCGCCGTCGCCATGGACGCGGGCGGCGTCGTGCCCGCGGCGCTCGAGGCGACGCTCGCGGCGTTGCCCCGGAAGCAGCGCGTCTTTTACACGATTTCCTCGGGCCAGAACCCGACGGGCTGCACGCCGACGGAGGAGCGGAAGCAGGAAGTCTACGCGATCTGCCGCAAATACGACGTCGTGATCTTGGAGGACGATCCGTACTACTTCCTCGCGATGCCGCTCGACTACGAATCGGAGGCGGACATGCCCGGCGCCGACCCCGCGAAGCTCCCGGCGAGCTACCTGTCCATGGACGTCGACGGCCGCGTCGTGCGCCTCGACAGCGCGGCGAAGATCGTCGCGCCGGGCCTGCGGCTGGGCTGGGTCAGCGCGCCCCAAACGTTCCTCGACAAGTTCACGGTGCTCAACGAGACGTCGGTCCAGTTCCCGAGCGGCGCGGCGCAGGCGGCCATGCTCGCGCTCCTCGAGACGTGGCGCGACGACGCGGGCTTCGACGCGGCGCTCCGGAAGACGCAGCACGAGTACGCGCGGCGCCGCGACGTCCTCGTGGCCGCGGTCCGCGGCGCGCTCGCGGAGGCCGGCGGCGCGACGCTCGCGACGCTCGAGACGCCGGCCGCGGGCATGTTCCTGTGGCTCGAGCAGTTCGTCGCGCCGGACTCGCGCGCGCTCCAGGACAAACTCATCAAGAACGGCGTCGCCTGCATCCCCGGCGCGTGCTTCGCGACGCCGGACAAGCAGGGCGACGATTGCCCCTTCCTGCGCCTCACCTACGCGTCCGCGACGGACGCGGAGATGCGCGCCGGCGCGTCGCGGCTGGCGGCGACGCTCGCGGACTACTCGCGGAACCCGTCCCGCAAGTACCTCACCGCGGACCCGTAGAACTAGTCTCGAGCTAGTAAGCCCGCTTTTTGTAGAAACACGTTGAACGTCATCGTGCCGTCCTGGCAAACCGAGCCTAAACCGCGCGTCAACCCGGTCAGCGGGGCAGCTCGCGACGTCTCGCGGACGCCATCGGCCGCGCCGCGCGGCAGCGCGGAGCTCGACGGCAACGCGCGGCGCTTCGGGCAGCTCGCGGCGCTCAACCGCACACCCATGGACTCGCCGACGAGCCGCAGCCGGTCCGCCGGCGAGCTGGACCTGCTCGCGGACG